GGGTCGGTCCGGTCCAGTACGGGGGCGACACTGAGGGTTGCGATCCGTTGCCGGACACGAAAAAAGGAAAAAAAAAAAAAAAAGAATTTGATATAGGGCCGAGCCCGTGGCGCACTCAGGAGAGTGCGGTGCTGGGAGCGCGGGAGCGCTCCCGCTGCGGGTTCGGATCCTATATAGGGATAGCCGGTGCGCTCACTGGCTGAGCACAGTGCAGCTGGTCTCAAAAAGGACAAAAAAAAGAATTTGAGATAGAAAATGTCAGTTGAATCTACCAAAGTCTACAGCATTGTAGATTTGGTGAATCTCTTCTGTGATGCTGTGACTTTTTAGCTAAGTACAGTGTCCTTTGGTAAAATTGAGAGATTTTTAATTTAATAGTAAATGACAAAATTAAAAAGGTGTGTTCTGGTTTGATGTATTGGTGGTATACCATTAAAAAAAATTAATGACCTTAATAACTTATCATAGAAATAAAAAAAGTTACGTTTCATTCATTTAGAATTCCTTAGTAACCCTTTCCTGTTCCCAAACTACTCAGTCTTAAATCCGTTAGGTAAGACAGAATAGGTATGTATTCTGTCAGATAGGTGGTGAGTCATGGTTGCTCAGGGTGGAATGTCAGTATCAAGTGACCAGAGGAGGGACTTCTCATAGCCTGGTGTGCAAAATCAGAAACTGATAAAACTCATGCAAAGAAATAGGCAGGTGTGGAGATTCAGAGCCCTAGTGGGATGACTAAGGCATTTATACATGGAGGTGGCTCAACGCGGGCTATCAGAGCCCGAGGAGCTCTGACAACACAGGAGGAGCATCTCATTGTGTAGAGTCAGAGTCTGAAAAGGAGGTTCATATATAGGGGTAGCCTGACACAGTGGGAGAGCCTGATAAAAATGAAGAGGGCTTCCCTGATGAGGGGGGCTTCTCTATACAGAAGTGATCTGTTTCAGAAACCAAGTAGATGAAGGAGGGTATTCACACTGTGGAGTTAAATGGAATTGAGGATTCAGAATTTGAACAGGTAAAGAAGGGCATCTGCGTGGGAGAGGGTAATGGCAAAAATGAGAGAATACATACAGGGGGAATTTATCAAGGATAACCAGAACAATGTTTCTCATTGTCAGAGAATGACTTTACAAATGCGGAAAAGAGAGAAGATTAGAATAAACACTGTGGTGTTAGATTGGAATTTGAGATATTGTAGCAAACTCATTGTTTTCAATAAACATAGAAATGAGGTTTCGGTAATGGGCACAATAATCAACCACATTGTATATCAACAAAATAAAATTTAAAAAAATACCCAAACCCTATATTTGGGAGCAGTGCTTTTCAATTAAAAGACTTTTTCACCTAAAAATAATAATAATAATAATATGCCTCTGTGTGTATAAATATATTATATACGTGTATATATTCCCTAACTTTGTCCATTGAGAGATTCTGGGAGCAGTGATACTCCAGTAGCAGTGAGCAAACCTAGTGTTGTGGAGAAATAGTTGATCTAAGGTCTGGGGTAGGGAGAGTACAAGATGAGCCTGGGACATCTTAGTGAACCAGAAAGCAAGGAAGCAATGAAAGGATAATGAGGCTATGTCCAAAAGATACAAAAGCCAGCTTATTAAAAAGCTGGCCTCTGCTAAAATATGAGACAATTTGAACATCAAAATAAATGATAGATTATAACTTATTAAGTAGAAATCTACAAATTCATACATTAAGTAAATAAATGAAATGAAGATTTTATGAGAAACAGGATATTTATGTAGATTTAAAGTACCTTCTCACAAAATGCTTGTTAATTACAAAGGAGAAAAGAGAAACTTTACTATGAAGAAGCCTGGCAGAAACAGCCTTAATCATGTGATCAAAGTGACTTCTCAAAGTCATGTGCCACCTCATAAGATATAGTGAACAAAATATAGTGTTATTTCTGTGACATTCCTGCAAAGACATGTAGCCCAAATGTAGTCCTTGGAAATATTAAACAAACCCAAACTGAGGGATAATTCAAGAACCCTGTATACTTCAAAATTGTCAAGGTCATGGTTTCAACTTTTACTTTAAGAAACTAGGAAAATACAGTAGCTTAAATAAGCAGAAGGAAGGGAATAATAAAAACCCAAGCAGAAATCAGTTGGAGAATAAAAAACTGAAAAACAATAGAGAAAATCAATGAAACCATAAACTAATTCTTTGAGAAGATCAGTGAAATCGATAAACCTCTAGCTGGACTGATTAGGGAAAAAAGAGAGAAGACATAAATTTCTTTACAGACATAAAAAGGATAATAGGGAAATAAGAACAATTTTATGTCAATAAGTTTGACAACTTAGATAAAATGGACAAATTCCTTGAAGGATGGAAATAATCAAAGCTCACTTTTGCTACATGGGACATTATTAGGACATTTGAATGAAACTTGAATGGGGTTTGGGGATTAGATGACAGTTATCTATCAGTATTAAATAGCCTGATTTAATGGATGTATTATGGTTTTTAGGAAAACGTTCTTGTTTGTAGGAAATATATGTTCAAGTATTTAGGGATGGTGGAGTTTCAGGTCAGTAATTTATTCTCAATTGATTCACTATAAAAAGTTCTTTGCGGGCCGGCCTGGTGGCGCACTTGGTAGAGTGCGGCGCTTGGGAGTGCGGTGGCGCTCCCGCCGAGGGTTCGGATCCCATATAGAGACCGGTCCGCTCACTGGTTGAGCACGGTGCGGGCGCGACACCGAGGGTTGCAATCCCATTGCCGGTCGCGGTACGGGCGCGACACCAAGGGTTGCGATCCCATTACCGGTCACGAAAAAAGACAAAAAGTAAAAAAAAAAAGTTCTTTGCAATTTTTTTAGTTGAAAGTTAGTTTAAAATTGTTTCAAAATAAAAATATTTTTTAAAAAACAAAAAAACTTGAACAATACTTCAGTGCCCCTATGTAACAGGCACATATTTTACAAGAAATTTTTTTTCTTTTACAGCGGAAAGAAAGCCTCCTTTATTTAATATGAATGCAATGAGTGCCTTATATCACATAGCCCAAAATGAATCCCCTACACTACAGTCTAATGAATGGTGAGTATTGCTAAGAGATATATTGCTCAACATTGTATAAATGAAATGCTTTTTCTTAATTCGTTGTCAAAATGATTTAATTTCAATTAGGTAAAATGTATTACCTGAAGAGATATTAAAATAGGTTAATTTTACCTTTTTTTATATTGTATTTACCCTTAATCGTGTCCACATTTCATAATATATATATATATACTCAATTCAGAAGAAAAGGATAGATGATGTCATGGATGCAGAAAGTATTGATTTTTACAAAATGTATATTTTGCTTTTCCTTTGGAATTCAACTCGTAGTTCCTAAATTATATAATAAATAGCAGTTTTAAAACATTAATATTATAGGGCTGACCCCGTGGCTCACTTGGGAGAGTGTGGCGCTGGGGGCGCCGAGGCTGTGGGTTCGGATCCTATATAGGGATGGCCCATGCACTCACTGGCTGATCGCGGTGCGGGCGACACCAAGCCAAGGGTTACGATCCCCTTACCAGTCACAAAAAAAAAAAATAATAATAATAATATTATATAACTAAACTATACAGATTGTCACAACCTGTAGTGATATTTGATTGGGAAATGGTTTATAATTAATATGGTATAAAACATAGGTAAAATTATTTGACTTTATCAGAATTACTGGGTAATTAAAAACTTTGAGATCATTCTAATTATGATACTTGTTATTCAGATTGCTCTGATGTTCTTTCTAGTACTTCCTTGATTTGATAAAATTAAGTTCATTTATGTAAAGAAGTTTATAGAAAACAGATTAACAATTTTAGAAAACTAGAATTTTTATCAATAGTGCAAAATTAATTCCTCAAGTATACCTAGCATTTGAAAAATTCTAGGAGAATATCCAGCATACAAGTATTTAATAAATATTCTAAAATTCACAAATATATATATATATGTTAGGGTTACTTAATTTTTTAAAAAATTACATGATTAAGGCACATTTGTAAGTTTTTTGCTACTTATGTGGAGATATATATAGAAGGAATCTTTTGGCAAAGAGTTTATTTAATATTATGGTAAGTTTTAGTCCATTTTGTGCTGCTATACTAGAATACCTGATACTGGATAATTTATGAAGAACAGTAACTTACTTCTCACAGTTCTAGAGGCTGGGAAGTTCAAGATCAAGGCACCATCATGTTAAGGCCTGGTCTCTCTGCTTCCAGGATGGCTCCTCAGGATGGGAGAAATGTTGAGAGCAAATGGAGAGAGCAAACACACTCCCAGAAGCCTTTTTTATGGTAGCATTAATTCATTCATGAAGGCAGAACCCTCATGACCTAAACAACTATCATTAGGCCCCACCTGCCAACACTGTGACAGGTTTCAACATAAGGTTTCTCTCCTTTTTTTTTTTTTAACATAAGTTTTCAAGAGGACAAAAACATTCAAACTATAGTATAGTTACATATAAGTAATAAATATATTGAACACAGACTTTGGGGAATTATAGAAGAATTCTTACTTACAAGCAACTTAAAATCTTTTTTGAATATTGGAGACAAACATTGATGGAGTAATTATTATTTATTGCCTTACTCACTGAACTCATCAATAATACTGTATACTAATACAGGGAACCTCAAAAAGTTTGTGGGAAAATGAAATTAAAAGATAAAAATAAAAAGCATAAACTTTATTTCTCAACATAAGCTCCATCAAGTTCAAGACACTTTAGAAAAAAAGTGATGATATCAGCCATTTAGTCCATCACTAAAGAACTAAGGGTCCTAAGTCAATGCAGCATTGTTTTACATTATTAACTGAAGAAAAATATGTGCCCTTTAAAAATTTTTGAAGATTAGGAAACAAAAAGAAGTCAGAAGGAGCCAAATCAGCCCTGTAAGATGGATCCCTAATGATTTCGCATCAAAACTCTCACAAAATTGCCCTTATTTGATAAGCAGAATGAGCAGGAGACTTCTTGTGGTGGAGGGCTCTGGTGAAGCTTTCCCAGGTGTTTTTTTGCTAGAGCTTCGGCTATCTCTTATAACACTTTCAAAATAAGCAGATGCTATTGTTCTTTGGCCCTCCAGAAAGTCAATAAGCAAAATTTCTTGAGCATCCCCAAAAACCATTGCCATGACCTTTGCTCTTTGACAGGAACATTTCTACCTCTTGGTAGCCATGGCTTTGATTGTGCTTTGTCTTCAGGATCATACTGGTAAAAGACATGTTTCATCACCTGTTTACAATTTTGAAGAAATGCTTCAGGATTTTCAGACCACTTGTTTAAAATCTCCATTGAAAGCTCTGCTCTTGTCTACAGCTGATCTGGGTGCAACAGTTTTGGCAGCCATTGAATGGAAAATTTACTCAATTAATTTTTTGGTCAGACTTTTGTAAGCTGAACCAATTGAGATGTTTGAGATGTCTGTGGTGTTGGCTGTTTCTGCTGTTAATTGTCATCCTCTTCAATTAGGTCACGAACAAGATTAATTTTTTCCTTGCAAATTGATGTGGATGGTCTGCCACTGCGGGCTTCATCTTCAACGTTATCTTGTCCCTTCTTAAAATGAGTTACCTGTTTGTAAACTGCTGATTTCTTTGGGGCATTGTCCTCATAGACTTTTCGTATAGCAACAGTGACTTCACCATTCTTCCTCCCAAGCTTCACTAGAAATTTGATGTTTGTTTTTGCTTCAATTTTAGCAGAATTCATGTTGCTCTGATAGGAGTTCTTTTCAAATTGATGTCCTATCCTTAGTGCCTCAGACTAGATCCTGTTCAGACAAGTTGTAACATGTTAGTATGCGTTTATTTTGATGCAAAAAGCTTTTGCAATTCATGCATAGTTTTTTTATAATGCGCATTTTCACAAACTTTTTGAAGACCTCTCTCTTATGTTACAGACTTCTAATGTTTTAAAAAATATCTTATTTGGTTTTCTAGGTATAATGGAAGTCTTATTCATTTGCTCAGGGGCACCAAATACTCAGGTATAATAAATGCTCTCTTTAGAGCAGATAGAGTGATGTTCTGGAATATGCTATAAAGAAGATGATCCAAGGGGCAAATAGGAAAGAGAGGTGGCTTAGAGAAAAGAAAAACAAAATGGAAAGTATGTTTTGGGGTTTGAATGAAAACAAACAAAAAAAGTAAATAGGCTTCCCTCATTTTACCTCAATATAGAATGAGTTGTGATATTTAAATACATTATGCAGGAGCAATATTTTTAAATAAGATGTACAGTTTATCTTTGGAAAATGGTAAAGATTCATTGGTTGCTTTACATAGCTTTTTGTAGACTTGTAAGAAAGTATATAGTTTCTGCTTTTTTTCTATTCCCTTTCCATTCCCCCTCACACCAGTAGGCACGTGCCTTGATTTGTGAATGTGTTTTTAAAGGAAATAGCAATATGTTCACTTGATACTTTCCTTTACAATAGGTCTGATTATTTTCGCAACTTTGTAGATTCTTGCCTCCAGAAAATCCCTCAAGATCGTCCTACATCAGAGGAACTTTTAAAGGTCAGTTCTATTACATTCCAAATCTGTTTTTACCCCTAAGAAATGATTTTAAAAGAATGTATTTTATTATTCTTTGATTCTGAATCAGGATTAAGTATTGCTGTACTAGTTTGTACTAAAATACTAATTTTTAATACTGTTCTCTGAGAACTTTTCTTAGATATGAAGTTTTTTTTTTTTAATTGGTTAGCTGAGTTTACCATGTCTAAATAGAATATATAGTTAAAATTTCAAAATATTACCAAACGGCTAAATATTTTTATTTGCAAAAATAATATTCATGAATGGGCCGGCCCGGTGGCGCACTCGGTAGAGTGCGGCGCTTGGGAGCGTGGCGGCGTTCCTGCTGAGGGTTCGGATCCCATATAGAGACCGGTCCGCTCACTGGTTGAGCGCGGTGCGGGCGCGACACCGAGGGTTGCGATCCCGTTACCGGTCACGAAAAAAAGACAAAAAGGAAAAAAATAATAATAATAATATTCATGAATTATAATTATAAATTTTAATTCATGTGGAAGTGTTTTATTTCAAAATTGGTAAAACATAAATCAACTTTGGATTTAATTTTTGTATGTATCACACTTTATATATTGATGTGTCCAATATTAATATAAAAGGAAGGTACATGATGTATATTTATATAAATATGAGAGAAAAGAAACTTAAAAATGACATATTTTTGTTTCCTTTTTATGAAATGTAGGTTTCTAACTTAGCAATGGAAGAAATTTTTTTTTTTTTTTTTTTTTTTTTTTTTTTTTTTTTTTTTTTTCCGC